ATAGGATCAGTAAAGTATTTAAAATAAATTAAGTAAACAACTATAAAATAGCTATTAAAAACCAGTTCATCAGCTAAATTACAAAAGATAGGAACTTTTTATAGGCTATAAAAAAGGAAAAAACATGCAAAAATAAATTGATTAAATAAATAGAATAAGATAAAAAAAATTAGCGAGCGACTAAAGCACATTACAGGGTATGCTAAAAGACTTTAACCTTGTATTTTAAACATGTGCCGTGCAAGTGGCGCCGAAATACTCTCAAAATATATTTTAGGTGCCAATAATAAACTAAACTGACGCTCGAGCTGACCCCTGACAGCCTTATCAATTGACTAAACAAAAATAGAAAAAGGCAAGCTAGAGGAAGAGAAAAATACTAATATTTAAATTGAATTCAAACTAATTAGTGGCTGTCAAGTTCTGCATCTAAAGTATATTAATATGTGCGGACATACATATGTAAATTGACACTGGCTATTAAAATATACATAAAAAGCTGTTGCTGTTGCTGTTTGTGTTATTAAATATTTATGCACAATGTGCAACCGGTTAAAAACGCGTCAGAAACGCGAGCGGCGCAATTAAACGGCGCCTAAAACGCGTCCATCGTTGACATCGCTTGTGGCGCTTTTTACGACTATATTCAAATGATACCCCTATGAGCATTAGCTATTATTGCTAATGAGTCGAGCTTGTATTGGACTGGCTGCCAGAGCTGGGGGCTAGGCAACTGGAGCTGGAGCTGGTTAATAGGAAATGCAAATGAGCGCCAGTTGCAGACACACAATGGTCGTCGCTTGTCAAGCTTGTTATCCAATTAGCTATGTGTGTGAGTGTGTGTGTGGCACCCAGTTCTGAGGACAGTCTGATTGATTGCCCATCCCAAGCAGAGCTCTGTTGGCCATTCATCAAATAATGCTATTGCCAAAAGCCGAAAGTCAGTCAATGCAAGGCTGAGCGGATTCTCTGTTTTATGCTGGCTAGGCTACAAAACCAGTTCCATAGCTCTCAGACGAAACGAAAGCATCCGAAAATGGTGTGGAGAAAATTTTTGCAGTCAAAACAATTAGACAGCTCGGCGGTGTCCAAACAACTTGTTGCGGCTGACTACAGACAGTCGAATTGCCGGAAAAGCTGTTGGCAGGCTGTCGGGGCCGTGCCGGGTCGACTACAGCTGGGAGGGGCTGGGTCGGTTGCAGCGGGCTCTCCCTGACTTTTTCGTTATGGTTGGGTCACTTGCAGCGTGAAAAGTCAAAACTAAAAAATGTGTAATTAAATGCGTTGTTCTTTAACCCACGGGAAAAGCGACAAGCGCAACAAAAAGAATAGAGAAACTTCTAGCAAAGACTTGAACGAAGTTAAAATGCTCTTTATATTTTTTAAAATATTGACTAGATAGTCAATATCAATGACTAGATAGTCAATAGTCTGTTCAGCTAGTAGTTATTAAAATACATATATGAGTAGATTCTAAGGATTTCTTCTAAGGCTCTAAGCTTTTATAAAAATTAGATTACTAATATCAACATACTTATAATGCATATTTTTTTTTAAATAAGGTTTATATATTCAATATGTCTTATTATTAATATCAACATATTGTTTATCAGTAGTGTACGAGTGAAAACGATTGCTCTTTATTTATATTTTCTACTTTTAAGCATATCAGTTCTATTTTGCAAAGTCTCTTAACTTTATTTCCTTATATTGGGCTTGAGGAAACTTGTCCCATTTTATCGTTTTTGAATTTGATTCATTGTTTAAACTTCAACTACTTTCTATTTGCCAATCTCTTATTGTTGCCAATGATTTTAGATTACCGATCGAGCCTGCCGAAGTGTGCGGCAGAGTACAAACAAGAACAATTAACATAAATTGCGTACGCGATGCGGCTCATTGACTTTCGAAAAAGGGTTCCCATAGTTTGGTTTGGGTTCGCATTCGGGACAGCTGCCCGTCAATCATTCGCACAAATGAACTCTGACATTTCCGTAGAGGGGGCAAAGGCGGAGGCGGGACCAGAGGCAGAGGCATTGCCGCATTGGGTTAACAAAAAGAAAAGTTACGACGCACCTGCCGCAATGACAAACAGTTTGGCTTTGCTTTGGGCGCGATAAGCATCGTCATAACAACAAAAGATTAACACGCCGGAAAAGCACAGCGACCTGGTGGCCACACAGGTCATTTTAGGGACGCTGTCGGTCGATGCAACGAAAATTGCCACACACGCACGCAACGGAAGCTGCAAGAGGGCGGGCTGGGGAGAGCGAGAGGGAGAGTCTGTCAGCAACCGACACCAGGTAGGTAAGACGTGCCGGCGGTTTCTGTCGATACCTCTGATGCCGCAAGGATGCAAGCAGCCGCCAACTAACCACAAATCTTCAAGATCGAGTTACATACTACAACCGCACCAACCGACAACACGACAAAAGTGTCATTCCACGCAGAAGATCTAAGATAATCTTTAAATTTGATATACTCACCTTATAGCTGGCAGGTGTGTAGGTATTTGTTTATCCTCACTATTTGTAGCGAACTTCACTTTCCTTTTTATGTGTTAGCCTGAAATTTTAGTGGAAATAATAAACTCAATTAACCCGGCGAATGGAGTAATAAAAAGATCACGATCGTCTCTCTCCGGCACTGGCCATAAATCATTTAATCAATGGTTGTCCATAAAAAGCCGGCTATTGTGCGTGCTGAGGGGCAAGCGCGCGCGATGCCAGTGAAGGCCAAACAAATTCCAGAATACCCAAACGGTTGATGAATCCACCTCCAACTTGGAAGCCCACTCGACACTCATCCGTGTTGCCGGCTGCCCACACGTCGCGCGCGCCGCTCAGCTGCTTGGGCAAGCGCCAATGCACTTTACGTTATTAATAACAAGTTCACACACACCCACACACGCACGCACACATTTACAAACAAATATGTATAAATAAAGGTGCATATATATTTGCGTACTATTTGAAAAGCCCGCGGCAATTGTAAATGCATTTATTGTAATGCCACAACAAGCGCATTGACAACTGACAGAGTGAGCGCGGAACGCAGGTACTTTGCTAACCGTTTTGCAAACTAATCACTTATTATTACTCTTGGTTTTGGCTCAAAATCTGCTACCCCACATACTTTTCGTGTATTGTTGTAGTTTAATGGTTGCGACTCGCGTCAAGAAAACGAATGTTTTTGTACTGTGCGCGTTCCGACGAAGGCTGCCGCGCCACAACCTTCACGTTCGATGTTTTGCTTGCGACTGAGCTGCAGTTGTCGATGTATTTGATTTTTGCGCGGTTGATATCGATATGTTTCATTTCGATAAATATATTACGATACTATTTAGATTATGTTAACGATTGACTCTGTTAACTCTTTGTAATTTTCATTTCTATTTTTGAATGCTTCTATGAAAGATTAAAAGGCTTCTCCCAGATTAAAAACACAGTATGCATTGTCTCCCAGTTGGTTTATTTAATTTCAAAAATATTCCATTTACTTATTCAATTTAAAGTTATGAAGAAGTAGAAAATATTTAAGTTTAGAATTTTAAGCATAGAGAACACATGATTTGCCAATTCATTTAAGTAGTTTTTCATTTGATTTTGGATGGTTCTCAGCGCTATCTTAAATGAAATACACACATGAATATTAAGAAACCTCATGCAAAAGATTAACGCTATAGCTTGGATTTCAGTTTCAGTTATAAGTTGGACAAAATCAAACAAATACACATAAGGCATATGGCAACAGTTCTCTGGCATTTTTGCATATTACATTTAGACATAGACGTACACCTTTATATACAGCACGTGCCTGAAGAAGTTGCCATAAGCAACACATCAATAAAGGCAAGTGTTAAATATCAAATTATTTGGTTTATGTAAAAAACGTAAACTGAAAATAAACTAAAAACAGTAGCTAAATCGATTAAATCGAACATACCAAGAGGAAAGATAGAGGAAGATCTTAAGGACCAGACACTATCCAGCGTTGGGCGAAAGACAACGTTGGATGATGCGGAAAATCCATTGATATGGTCGAAAAGGCCACGAAACGTGGTGCGAGTGAATGTTATCCAAAAGGTGGAAAAATGCGAATATAAATTCCTAATCCGATGCGAAACGAATGCTGAAGTGAAGTACGAAGGGACGCGTTTCCGAAATCTCCAATATCCTTGCATATCCTGTCCATGCGCATTAGTTTTTTTTACTTCCACATATTTAAAGATATCTCAAACACACCAAATTTTATCCAACTCGAAACACACACAAACCCAAAAGATGTAACGCTGTTTTTAACCAGGTTCCAAAGAGTAGAAAGCAAAGGATGTTACAATCGAAATCATCTTTTCCATGTTTATCGTGGGAAAACTGAATCCCACGTTGTCCTAGTGATTTTCTCTGTCTAGTGTGCTTCTCTCGCATAGGTAAAAGAAAATGCCTAAAGTCCGAATCCTTTTATGATATCTAATATCCAAATCCTTTTGTATCCTGATACCATTTTATAATTAACACGCTTTCCGAATAGCCTGCCTCCTCTAATTTAATCCAAAATCATCTTTATCCTTTCCACTTCACACTTCACTCCATCATTAACATCAAAATTATCCTTTCTCCTCATCCTTATCCTTCCTCATCATCCTCCTCCTTCTCCAATTATCCTCATTACACTCCAAACATAAACGCGCAAAAGGGGGAAGAGAAGAAAATAAAATGAAATATTAATAATTTGTTAATGTATACTACTCCATACAAATGCTTATGCTTGGATTTTGTTTACATATATTTATTCTCAGTAGTGTTGGGTTCTTAATATTTCTGTTGCTGTTCAGTTTAATACGATAAATTCTAATAAATTAGGTTTTTGTAAATTAAACCAATTTTAAAACAAGGAATGTGTAAAAAGACGAATTCCTTGAATTATAATTATTGCGAAAACTTAACTTGTCAAATGTGTATTTGTATGAATTTAATAATTTAAAAGAATCTTTTTGGATAAAGAGAAAAGCAAGTGTACATAGTGTTCCTAAATTTTGGATTCGCACTTGGATTGCTTGAGTCTTGATAAAAGGGTTTCTTTGTTTTTCGTGATATTGAAACTGTTTGATCGGCTCAACAGAATTTAACTAAACAGATAGATAGTTAGTGGGGTATGGGAGGTCTTGATAATTTTCTTGCTTTTCCTAAATTTTCCTGCTCGTAAGAAATATTAATATTAATGGATAATGATTGCAGAATTTAGTAATTAGAGCGTGAGCGAGACCTGGAATAGGATTGGCGACGCACCGGCGAATATGTTGGAGTACCACGACGACGAGGGCGCGATGAAAACGAGCGCGAACGTGATCTGAAAATTTAATATTTATTGGAGATTAATATTATTAATGTCTGTACCATTTTCCCAGTAATCAAAATATTTAGCTGCACTCAGCATTTTTTAAATATCAGCATTTAACTTACCTATCGCGATATTCACGGCTGCCGCCGCCACCACCACCACCGCCGCCACGGTCATTATCTCCACTATCCTCACGTACTCGTATATAGGCCACCTCTCCCTAAAAGTCATCCATAATTTAGTATAATATGCAATGCATTAATCACACAAAGCGATTGATTTATTTACCTCATGTGAACGAAAACGTGAATCATCCAACTTCTTAATGGCATATTTCATATCCTCGTGGCGTAAGAACTCCACGACGCCAGAGCCGTCTTTGTATGTATCGGCAAAGCAAACATCACCGGCCTCACGCATATGATCCTTCAGGTCCTGCCACGAGCCTGATCCAGGCAAACCAGTAACCATGACGCGGTACTGTGAGCGTTTAGCTGGGGGACCACGACCACCCATGCGACCGCCGCCATCACGACTGCGATCGTTGCGATTGTTGCCGCGATAGCTTCCCGGACCTCCGCCGCGAGGAAACTCAACTCGCAGCCTATAGCCGTCATAGTCATATCCATCACGAGCCTTAACGGCATCGTCAGCATCGCTGTTGGTCACCAAATTTAATAAGGAACTCCTGATTATTGCCGCTTCTTTTGCAGAAATTTGCTTTCATTACTTACCGCGCGTCTTCGAACTCGACAAATGCAAATGGCGGACCACGCCGATTCTTTAGATCGACAAATGTGACTTTGCCGAACTTGTGGAAAAGGTCCTGTATATCCTTGGTTCGAATATCTGGTGGCAAATTGCCAACATAAATGCGACACTCGTTGCGTGAGCCCATTTGGTAATTTGTAGAGTTTGGAAAATAAATTAAAGTACAATTTTTTTCACAGAACTTTTGCTGTCACGCAATTACACACACAAGGAAATTTCATATACACATTAAGCGATGGCGTTACAAGCTTGCATGTTTAAGTTATCGACAGAATGCTTTCTATCAGGTTGGCAGTACCAAAAAATGACAATTTTTGGTATTTTGTTTTAAGGTTAAATTTAATACCATTTCGTCAGAGTATTGCGGCGTCTGACTCTGCTAAACAACTTTTGTTTTCACAAAAAATGAATAGATGCGTTTATCTAGCTAAAGGAAAGCATAAAACAAACAGGAATTAGAACGAGTGTAAAAAATATTCAAAATATGCGGTTGTGATTCACGTTAAGGTGTATAAAGATGTCTGTTGAAGCCAGCAGACAACAGCCTTGATTATCATCGAGTGTGCATGACTTTGTGTGTGTGTGTGTGTGTGTGTATTTTGTGTATATAAACAAAGTGCGAACGCGGGAAGCGGTTGCAATTCTTTTTTTCTCGCTAGCTGCCTAAACTTGGACAATAATTCAAAACATGTCCAATGTGCGGTGCATAAATTTTTGGGATTTGTGTCGCATCTGCACCGCAAGCAGTGAACAGAAAATAAATATTTACTCCCCCGATGGACGTGCGAAAAATTTAAGCCAGAAAATCTCAGAATGTCTGCCAGTGCAAGTGAGTAACATACAAAAAGAAATCATGATAACTGTATTAATAATAATTATTATTTGCCATCCTAATGCACAGATCGACGAAAAGGATCGGCTGCCCAAGGTAATATGCTCCCATTGCGCGCAGCAAGTGGAACAGATATACGAAATGCGCAATATATCAAGAAACTCTCAGACGATACTCAACAACTGGCTGAACCACCGGACGCTACAGAGCGAGGAGAAGGTGTTCATTAAGGATGCCATCAATGACTCTGGAAAGAGTCTTAGCGTGGTTGGCACAACATCGTCCGGAGGTCTTGTCGCAAGCAACGCTAGCCAACAGCCCAATGATCTGCTCAGCAGCATCATGCAGGCTGTTGGCATGCAGGTCCAGCAACAGCAGCAACAACCGCAACAGCAGCAACCACAACAGCAATATACAATTACTGTGGATAGTCATGTGCCGGCGCAACCGTTGCAGCATTCACATTCCCAGAATGATGTTAAGAGCGAAAAGCAAAAGTAGGTTTTAACTTGCAATCAAATCATTTATTTATTATCATCTTTGATTGCAGCACTTTGGAAGAGTTTATACGCCTTAAGCCTGACATCAAAATTACGCCGCTCGGTAAGAAGGATAACGTGCATAGCACACAGAGCAGCACCACCTTATCGAGTATAAAACAGCAGCATCAACAGCAACAGCAGCAGCCCCAACAGCAATCTGTACAGTTGCAGACGCAGACGATAACAGCGGTGCCGGCTCCTGCTGCGCAACTGCAGTTGCAGCCGCAGCAGATTAACGACATCAATGTATTACTGCAGCAACAGGCACTTTGGCAACAAATTCAACAGCTGCAAGCGCAATCGCAGTTGGCCAATGGAGGCGATGATGCCACGGAGAGCAAAAAACCGAAATTAAACTTTGTACTATCATCGCCAGCTACAGCTCCACAATTTACTGGAAGCTTACCACAGTTCGGAAATGTAGGTGGGACACAGCCACAAATTCAGTTGCAACTGTTGCCAGGCGGTGCAAGTTCCAGCAACAACTCAACGGCCAACATTGCAACTGTTCAGCCCGCCCAGCAGCTCAATGCAGCCGCTCTGTTATCCCTGACGGGCACTCAGTTAGTTGGTGGTAGCGGAGCCGCCAACATGCTCTCTCCAAATAAATGCTTCTTGCCAATAACTATACGTGATGAAAACTCCGACCAGCAGATTGTGGCGCACATCGACACAAAGAATTTGGTGCTGCCCACCACATATCAGGTGCAAATGAAGGTGAGCATTACTTGGCTGATGAACGAATCTAATATGCAAATAGAATTTTACTTACGTATGTATGTCTGTGCATTGAGCTTTAGGTTTCTGAATGCATATTTAGCATATTCAAATTGTTTTCAATTTTGCAGCTTCAGCCCCAATTGGCCACAGCAGACGGTCAGCCCATTATGCAGTTGACACCAACTTCCATTCCAGCCACATTGCAGTTGACGCCACAGACGTTGGGCAATGCCACGGCCTTTCAAGCAGCGACAACAACACATCAAAATCAGTTCCTTGTGCCACAACCACAGCCACAGCAACAACCTCAACAGCAACAGCTTTCACAACAGCAACAACAGCATTCGCAGCAACAACAACAATCACGGCAGCAACAGCAACAACTAGCGCCTGCTACAGCAAAAGTAACCTCACAGCAAATCATTCGATCTCCCCACGGAAATGGGAACAGCTCACAGGTGGTTATTCGGAACGTAAGCGCTGAGCAAAATAGTGGTGAATCGTCGGTGACATTCAAGATGCCCTCTCCACGGCAGCTGCAGCAGCCGATTCAACAGCAGCAGATCAAATATAAGGCCACACCGTCGAGTGCTTCCTTAGTTGCAGCTCCTTCAACTGTAACGTCTAGCAATACACCCCAGACAGAGTTTAAGCGTGTGCCGCAGATTAAACAGCCGCCATCTCAAACAGGACAAACCAACGTGGCTGCCTTGCAACGACTCTCGTCGAATACAACCATCACCAAGTTGCCCAAGCAGCAACATCCCGTGGCGAGCCATAAATTGCCGCTGATAAACAAGCAAAATATAACTATTAGTCGCATATCCACACAGGCTGCTCCAAAGCCGGAGGCAAAATCGGCGGCAACGGCACAGGCACAGGCACAGGCACAGGTACAGGTACAGGCACAGGCACAGGTACAGGCACAGCCACAAGCACAGTTACAATTGCCCAAAACCGAGCCAGCGCCGCCACCACCAGCCCTGGCGGTGCAGCAGCTGCCAACGCCGCCTGTCACACATATTCTTAACCAACGAAAAATCAATCGTAAGCCGCCTGAGCAGAATCAGAAAACAAAAGCCGCTCGACCTCAGCAGCAAATTCTGCCGGTACCTACAGCGCCACAGCCGCAGGCGCAGCCTCAGCAGCAACAGCAGCAGTTGGCCAACAGTTCGATAACTGAGCCGCCCACGGCCACGCCTGTCAATGCGCTTACCTGTCCCAACTGCCGGCGCGAGTTCAAGAAGAAAGAGCATCTTACGCAACACGTTAAACTTCACGAGGGGCTGCGTCCCTTTAAATGCACCGAAGAAGGCTGCGACAAGGCCTTCAGTCGGAAGGAGCATTTGTCACGCCATCTCGTCTCCCACTCTGGCCAAAAAATGTTCACCTGTGAGGAGTGCAAGAAACCCTTCTCGCGCAAGGATAATCTAAACAAGCATAAGCGGTGAGTACGTTGAGTCCTTAACTTATTTTTAATAAATACACTACAAACTGAAAATAAAGTATTCTTTAGTTTATGTGGATATTTGTTAAAAGTAAATTTGAATTTTTAATATACCTGACTTACTTCCTCCTCAGAACTCACAACATCCAGCCTGGCGAGACTCGACTGCACACCTGCGACATCTGCAATAAAAACTTCGCGTCGAAGCAGCAATATGAAAAGCACCGTGAGATGCACAAAAAGTCTCGTGCCGGAAACGCAGCTTCCGCCACACAAGCGCATACAGGTGGTACAAAGGTAATAGTCAATCAGTTTTCCTTGCCACATGGACTAATTGGCGGTTCGCATTGCAGAATCAGTATGAAGTGAAGCAAGAATCCTCAGGTGGCGCACCAGCGCAGCAGCCGCAATCTCAAATGCAAATCCAACAGCAGCCGCAACAGCAACAGCAACAGCCGCCGCAACAACAACAGCAACAACAGCCCCAACAACAACATCCACAAATCATGCATGTAGATTTGGATGGGAATACAATAACAATAACTCAGGCAGCCGATTCCTCTATGCCATCTCTGGCTAACTTTGTCCAGCTGGGACTATCACAGTTTCACAATGGCAGCGGGTCCTCAAACCAAATAGTTTGTAAGCTCGAAAAGTAGATTTCGGATTTCGTTCTACTAGAGTAGCTCGAATTCTCATCTAGTCCGTGTGGGTCTACTGCCAGGTTCCTTACCAGAACAAATGTTAATGCTTTTTTCTCATTATGTTTTACTTATGTTTAGGTCGATCCCTTTTGTTTTTCAATCAAGCAAAGGGTTTTCAGTTCTATTTGTGCAATATACGCGTTCGTTTTATATTATTTTGTATTGTATATATTATATTTATATGTTTGTTTGTTTGCCTTGTTCCTTTCATCTAATTTATTTGATTATTATTTCTTTTACGATTCATTTCCAAAATTATTTATATTTGTTTCCTTAATTTTAATTCAATTATATAAAGCTAAGCACTAGGACTTGCCAATATTAGAGATACATATTTATAGATCTAAGACCGATTTTATTAGCATTTAAATGTAAATATTTATCAAACGCAAATACATAAACTAGTAGCCGTAAACTTATTTGTAATACTAAGATCTTTGTAATGCCCACACCTGTTAGGTGGAAATGGAAAGGAAATGGGAAAGTTCAACCAAATCGAAAATGAAAATAAATGCAATTGTTTCATTTATGGAATAGTTATTTTATTGGTTTTGGAGCGCTCGGTGCTCGATGCGCAATAAAGCAGATGGCAGCCGTCGTTGTTTAAACAATATATTCAAGTTATTTTCTTTGTTTGATTCGTAGGCTGAAAATATAGACTAGAAAAGAAAAAATAAAGAAAAATAGTTTTCTGGCCATCCTTAAATCATTTTTTTTTTTTCCACGAAACGCAACGAATGCAGGCATACTACTAAATACCATTGGCTAGTGCAAATTGAAGCACGATTCCAACTAAATATTACGCAAACAAATTCTGAAAATTTCAAGTGAAATGAATTCGAAACCATAAATTAACGAATTACTCAACATTTAATGGGATTTAGGATCGTAAAATTAAATAATGTTCATGTTCTTTTTATTATTTTTCATTGTAATTAATACTTTGAATGGGATGTGAGGTTGCCGAATTCGTATCTTGCTTACATTTAATAGAAAATAAATAAATTTCAAATTCTTTGGCTTAAATATACATAACAGAAAAGAAAAGTGTATTAAAATTAGCGACTACTTTCTACATACTACATAATACTACTGGATAGTGGGTACGCTCCACTCATGATGCAGCAATGGAGCAATCCAGTCAGGCGCAGTGCAAAAAGCGTAGCAGGGCGATGCAATTTACTCCAAATGTGTTACTGTAAATCGAATGATTGTGATTTGGACTCATATATATGTATGTATTTAGGTTCCGTGTGAATTGTGCATGGGACTAAGTGCAAATAACATTGTTAGATGTGGGAGAGAGCGGAACAAACCAAACCAAACCAAACCGAACAAAACCAAGCCAAGCAAAGAACAGAACATAACAAACCCAAACAGAAACCAAGCGGCGGACCAAACATACCAGAAGAAAACAGATTTATTGAGAAGATAAAGAATGCAGCGCTAACCTTATAGGTCGTTTATCAGGTTTGCAGCTACCCTCAATCGTAACTCAATGAGAATTGGGTTATCTTTTGGACATCGCCCCACACCTGAATCGACTGTATGTCGGATAGGGAAAAGAGCGTTTCGAATTTCGTAACGAAATTGTGACCCTGTCCACGCACTTGGTAAACGTGTATGGTCGAATTATTGTAATCGAATTGAAACTCAAGCGAAAAGGTTGACTCTGTGAACGAATAGTGAAGTACGGCATCGATGCCGTCATTTATAATACTGGATATGCTTGGCATTGTCTTGTCGCTTTTACCATCGAATATATTCAGATATTTCTCCTGGTGTGCGTCGCTCCACTCGCCATTGATCTTGTAATTCTCGACGATCGTCTGTGCGGGTACCCTAACTTTAAAATGATATGTTATGTTGTCTGTGCAGCTGGGACTGTTTACGAAATTAATCGAGAATCTGTAAATGAAAGAAAAAGAAACCCCCAGAAGAGCATATTTAGTTAGCAATTAACAAGTAAATACATAGTCTATGAGGAATCTGCTGTAGCAGATGTGAAATTCCTAAGTTCGAGCCCCTAAATACCCCTACACATATCATTAAGCTGACCTTCATGTCACTAGTCAAATATGTTCGCGTAGGTGTGAAGCACGTGCAACAAATTCACAATCTACGCCTAAAATATAATTTGTTCCCAACCGGTATTCCAACCGGTAGCCTAATGATTCATTGTAAATTCGTTAGTGCCTTCTTACACATTGGCAACGCTCAACTCTCTGAATGTTTGTCACATTCCTCAAATGACACTTAATTCTCATACGTGTTTCTGAAGTGCTCAATAAAGCACCTACTATCCGCTTCGATGTCCAACTGAATTTGAAGCATAACATTGCTATTGAAGTTGGAGACATTAAATTTCGAATATATACATACATATATATACTGAAGCGAGGTTCTAATGACAATGTGCTACGTACTTTGTTTTCTTATACCCATGACAAATTACCATATCTTTTACCACATATACGTTATTTTGTATGGCACTATATACACAAAAGACACTAGACAAGAGACTGAATTTTTAGTACACAATCATTTATTACCGAACGATAGATACCGAATATAGGTTTTTATTTTATATATCTTCTATCATTGAAATGCGAATACAGCTAGAGCCGGATTGATATACCGTAATCGATCGATATGATGCATATAAATAGATGCATATTGTAATTGGTCCATTTGTATTATTAGTTATGAAGATCAGTTCAAAGACCATGACCTTTTAAATGAAGCAAAAATCTTGCGATAATCAAATCAAGAAAGAGTGTCTATTTTTAGCTATATGAAGATTTATTTCGTTTTTGCATTTTTGCATGGGAACATAAGGTTTATATTAATATGTTGAATGTTGCATACTCAATAATAAATAAGTTGAACAATTCAAGTGATGATTTTAAGGGGCTATAAGAAATTGAGCTATATAGAGAGGTATCTTATCTTAAGAACTAATCTACGTAGTTTGTCTGTAAATATTAGTCATGAATCTATCTTATCATTATAAGGGTAACGAATTAAAGACATGAAAAGTTAACAATCAATGCTCATGTTATCATCGCGGCGAGATAGCGTTATTGAACTGTAAATAAATGCCAATGTCACGCCTTACAACACAAAGCCGGATCCAAGCAGTGTAAGCTCGCAAACTCCACGAATATGATGAAATATGTAGAATTAAGCTTTATTGATATCATTTGCTCAGTGACCATCGAGTTGAAGAATGGGCACCCAAAGTCTGACCTGTTGACTGACCATCGTACTGGCATATTTATTATTTGATGCTTTTCATTCTATTAATTGTCTGTTGTCTGTTTTAAAAAGATTTCATCGTATTGTTGTCTCCGTCGCAACAGCCCAGCGGCCGGCGTCTTGAGCGCGTGGCTGATGATGCTTTAATTTTTTTGGTGTTGATGATGTCATTGATTGTGGGAACTGATATAGAAAAGCCAAGAGCAAGGCGAGCCGCGATAATTTATGCTGCAGGCTGGCATATCAATTAGATCCTAATATATTTAGGCTAAGCAAATAAACAGACTGAATTCCTCTTGTTGTGCGCAAAAAATCTATGTATATGTGTAACATCATAAAAATTAAACCAATAATGCCGTTAAAATATTTCACACCAATATGTGTGCATTTGCTCTAAAAACCCAATTTAGAAATGCCTCTTTCAATGGAATGTCGGCAAAGCTACTAAAAATGTTTACACGCAAGTTTCGTAATGGCAGTTCTTAGAAAAAATTGGGTTACTTAAAGGGCTCCATCGATTTTCTAAAACAATAAAAGAGCACTGTTCTTAAGTGGTAAGAGTTAACCTACTGTTCTGGTTCCTGCAGCAGACATCCTTGGATACCCATTTTGCTCATCCTGTCTGATTCGTTGGGATTTGTTGGTAGCACAACCAAGTATTTAACTTCAGCCATTTTAAAACTTTACTTTATTTTATTGAAGTGCGCTATTTAAATATATGGATGCAGCTGTTAGACACGTTTAAACAATTAGAACCAACACAAATTCAAGGTATGTATTCAAGTCAATAAATTGCAGTTTCATTCAACAAAAATGTAAACAAATTAGATTTCGCTTCGCTTTAATTTGCTTTGCTTTGCTTTTCTGTTGGGTTGCTAACGGTTACAGGTTAGCCGCGAGGTCTTTACAGTTCGCTTGCTCGAATAATACTGCTCGACTGCAATCTCGCAGCAGCAGACGTTCTCAACAAAAATAGCAGTCCAAAGATCGCACGACGACGTCACGGGTAAAGCACTTTTCACTAAATAAAAGATACATATTTGCCCTCTCATTTACGTATAGCAATAGAAGAACCTAACTAAGTTGCTGACTGCAACCGCTGTCGCCACCGACACACGCTCTAAGTTCTTTCCGCCGCGTTGACTGAGTCAGTACTGCCTGAATTTTCGGCTTTTTTGCATTCCACAGACGAGAGCAGCAGCACACCGGCTTTCAAACACTCTCGCATAAGTATAAATTATCTTATCGAATAGATATGGGTAACAGAATTTCATTAACCTAATCACATTAACTTTTACATATATATGATGAGCTTGAATACATACAGAGCAAAAATGGTTACATTTTATGGTGTATTTACTCTCTGAAAGCTGTTTAAATATATGATCTATAAGTATTTTAATTTGGCAACAAATAAAAGAGCCAGCGATCGTTCACATAAACACAATTCTTGTTTTGTTCGACAATAAATTATAAACAACACTGTAGTCTATTTTTAGGCAGAGTATGGCATAGAAAACAAGAAAATTATAATGTTCCAGAGAAAAGTTAAACAAAAATTGCATAAAATTAAATTTTCAACAAACTTGTTTATTGGATTTATAAAACGAACACTTTTGTTTTTAAATTTTACACGATCAAAGAAGTATTTTATGCCATTTTTATAATATCATAATTCTATGGTATATTTTTGAAAAACATGCAATATGGGTTGGTTAGTATTTTTCTACAGAAATTCCATATTAAATTCCGTTCAATAACTGGTCACACAGTTAAGAACCCAAGTCGAGCTAACAAGTTGGCTGCCAAGCTAACGTAAGCATCAAACAAATACTAAATTTTAAATAAAACTTTAAAAAGCAGCGTGCAAAATGAACACGTCACAAATAGTAGTAATGATATGTTTCATAGTCGGCGTCGCACAAACGGCACTGGCGATCAAAGAGGATGACTGCGAAGGTATGTACACCTTCTATATAAGAAGTGGGCCGTTGATGGCCACGTAAGTATAAAATGCTGTGGAATACATTTTCACCGTATGTAATTACAGTTTGTGTGAAAACTGTTAAACGTTTTGCCGACACACTGGACGATACGACGAAAAAGGATTATAAATTGATTGAAACTGCATTTAAGAAATTCTGCAAGACACAGAAAAACAAGGAACATAGATTTGTGAGTTGACCAAGGCCAAATTGCCGGCAAACAGGTTCTCATTTAACAAATGAAACATACAAAAACGTCCTTTTTATTTAACGCAGTGTTATTACCTGGGCGGTCTTGAGGAGTCAGCCACAGGTATTTTGAATGAAATGAGTAAACCACTAAGTTGGTCAATGCCCGCGGAGAAAGTATGTGAAAAGCTGAAGAAAAAGGATGCACAGATTTGCGATTTACGTTATGGTATGTGATTCAATATTCAACATTTAATATATGATATGTTTCTAACAGTTATTTCTATTTTGCAGAGAAACAAATTGATTTGAACAATGTTGACCTAAAGAAGCTGAAAGTGCGTGATCTGAAGAAGATCCTTAACGATTGGGATGAGAGCTGTGACGGTTGTCTGGAGAAAACCGATTTTATTAAGCGCATTGAGGAGCTTAAGCCCAAATATTCACGAAATGAACTGTAAATAAATTTACTTAGTCACTTACGAGACACGCCCACTCAATACCACTATACAACACACACACACATATATTTTAGTTAATTTACAATTTTGATAGACTTTGAGAGAAATAAATATCTATTTTGAAATATAAAATGGAAAACCAGAAAATGTGAGAGAAGTTACACAATAAACCCACAATGACCTCGTACACTTTATCGTATATAATAATTGTTTTATTTACGTGTTAACAATATCATTATTATTATGTTGTATTACAAAATTAACGTACAAATTACAACAATTGGACAGTGAAAAAGAATGACATAAGGGTTAAGAATTTCAATTACACTTAGTACGTACCCAATATGATTTGATTTAACTTAACTATATTATGTATTCGTATATGCCAATTGGGGTACGCATTATAAAGTAATTAAATTAAAATTATTAGTTAAGCATATGAGCTAATTACGAACAAAAGCAGTTTTATTTTAGTTTATTATCAACTAACAGATAAGATAGATCTTTATGATCTATAGAGTCCATCAACGACGATACGGCTGCTTGTTGTACCGCCCACGTTCGCTCTCCTCGGCCAGATTTGCGTACTCACTGTAGACGACACACCAACAATATGTGAGTATAGCTGGAAATATTAAAGCATACATATATTAAAATTGAACAGAATCAAAATATAGGAAAACATATATATTCAAATTAGAGCATGATCAGTCAACAAACGGCTAGATCTAACTGTAAAAAGGCTAAATTACAGCACTGCACAGCAAAAGCAGACAACATAAAAAGTGTAGCATACTTGCGGGCGCGGCCAGAAAATATTGAATATTTCAAAAGGAACTACACATTTTAGCAATAGTTCAAAAATACACAAAATTTCAAATCCAGTTGTAATAAGGTAACAATTGTTTTCTAAAGTTACATGAATTGATTCTCTGTAATTCTTTTGTATTAAGACATCAACCTGTTTACCTAGATACAAATATATAATATTTATGCAAACATCTATGTATCTACATTTTGAACTACGAAAAATAAATAGCTGTTAGGGGCGTAGATTAAAATTAAAAAAAAAATAAATATGGAAAGTCTAATAATAATAATAAAAAGTCTATAAATGTAATTAAGGTTAAGATATTATGGATATGGAAGCCTGAATATCTTTTAAATGGGAATCACTACTGTTTGCCATTTGGCAGCAGAGCTAATTGCGTGGCAAGGCACTTCGCGCCTCATTTGTCAGCCAGTCTGAACTCCGCGCCAGCCGCATTTTGCTCTCGGCACGAAGGTGATCGACGCATGATAAATGCGTCAATAAAGTGAAAACGGCTGGCATATAAACGCCATCCGGTGCTAAAAACCGCACAAGGAGAAGCCACCATTAGCTGGTGTAGACGATATGCACTTACCGCAACAGATCAGCCCGAAGATTAGCCACAGAACGCCCGTCAGTACGAAGCCGTCGATGAAGAAGACGACGGCAGTGTAAATTACAGAAATGAGCAAGCCAATGGCAATCATTATGCCCAGCACCACCCACGGAACCATCAGATAGTGATTGCGCTATAAAAATGAATATATATACATATGTAGATTTGGAATCAGCCTATTATAATCAGTGGTCATACCTTGACAACGCCGAACATCATTAGCAATGATATCAATATGGTCATGCATAGATTTACCACCAGAATGATTTTCACTATGTTGTTTGGTATGAAGTCAAAGATAATTGTCTTGAAATGCACGCGTGCTGTGAATATCACAATTATCGTGATGATGGATAAAATGATGGCCAAAGTTCCTGAGATAATGGAGCCATTACGTGTCGACTGACACAGGCAGCAGGACTTGACGAGAGGTTTCGGCATTTTGAATTGATTTATTGCTTAGCTGTAGATAAAAATACATATAAAATATTTGTATAAATTGTGTGATTCATGCTTTATAAGAATGGTAATATTTTATTATTACAAATTACAAAAATAAATAAATAAATAAAAAAAAAAACAAAAAGATTAAAATATAAGTATATATTTTTTTGTTTTTACTTTGAAATCTTTTTTATTGCTAAAAAATTACAGCAAAACAGTTTTTTTTTTTTTCAGTGTACAATAGTAATATTCCGACGTATATCAATCATTTTTAATGCTCTATAAAACTAAATACAGCTTGTTAGCAGCTTCTAATTGAATTTAATTTCTGCTGCCTTGACCTTTATATAAATATATATCTATATATTTATATATATGTGTTCTATGTACATAATATTTATTTAGTTTTTATGGAGCCTCAAATTTATTGTGTATATATGTGCATATGTACATGTATTCTGTAATCATAAAAATGTATTTTCCCCATATGTGCCAAAAAATGCTTTTAATGAACTCTGAAAAACTATAAAATATTCTTTTGACACCTCGAACTCTGTTTTCCCAAAATGATGACGTGATGGGCACACGTCTTCACTTTTTTCGAACAGTTTTATAAGTCATTAACGGTGTAATCGAAATTAAGAATACTTTTGGGAAATTATCTTTATTAACTGTTGTTACAGATAAGCAGACCTCAAACAGGTTAATCGCTTAACGTAACTATTTACTTTAACATTCGCTCAACTGTTTGTCAGCATTATATAAATTTAAGTGTGTGTTGCAATTCCCAGATGCATTATGAGCACAATGTTTGGTAAAGGTTATCTTATCAACATTTCCAAAATAATTTATGTGTGATTGCAATGTGCCTAAAGCAAACGAAATATTCAAAGTGAAACAGATTTTTGTATGACGTCAAGCATTGCCTGTATATTCGGTCAGCACAAAATTGTTTATAAAACAAATCGTATTTAAATTTAGAAATATAGCACAATAACAAAAGCATTTCTTATATTGTTCTTTTTTTTAGGTATCGTGCCATGTATATGTGTATATGTATGTACTATAGATGTATGTAATATAGATTATATGTACATATAAATACATATTTTTGTTAAATATAGCAAACTCTCTCCTGGAAAAAAAACATGCTTTCAATAATTTATCAAATCAATTTGATAGAGCCGATTTCCTTGCCAGACTTTCAAATCGTGCACATGAATTACTTACACACATATTCACACACAGATACTAACATATATGTAGCTCTGTAGATAGATGTAAGTGATGCCTCATCGATTGCCGCCTACGGGCATTGTCATTAAATTAATCAAACGCTTAACATGCAACGCCGACAACGGCAGCTCCAATTTGATGTTGATGTGGATGTTGCCACATGCAAATTTCGAATTCAAATTCAAATTGAAGCTTAGCCGGTTTTTCTTTATCTGCTATGGACGTGCTGGTTAACTAGTTTTAAGCCCGGAGCAATACAACGCTGATGAGATAATCGCAAGACGCCAAAATGTCTTGTCATACATGGAAGCACTTTACGAAGGCATT